TCTCATCAGATCTCGGAAGCGAAGCAGAGTCAGCCCTGGCTAGTATTTGGATGGGAGACCTCCGAAGAATGCCAGGGCCACGACGTGGAGGCAGGCAGTGGCAAGCCACCTCTGAATATCTCTTGCCTTGAAAACCCTGTGGTATAAGTCAGCTGTGACTTGATGGCCCTTTTCACTAGCAAGTATAGCTAACAAATTTAACCTAAAGTAATATTCAAGACTAAGGAAGTCCTGTTCAGTACAATATATGCAAAAATGTCAATGGAAGCTTATTGAAAAGAATTCTGGGACAATTAGTACACTTTACAAAGCCTTTTTGAACCTCTGTAAATACAGCGGCATGAGAAACTGCTTCATCCTCATTCCCAAACGGAATGAGGATCGAAGCAGAGGGCGGGGTAAAGAAGGGGGCGGGGCTTCACCACGTGACCGCCCCGCCCCCTAGAGGTTCTCTTCCGGAGCTCCGTACCTGAGAGCTCCCCCCCGACTAGAGCCCTGAGTATAGCTAACAAATTTAACCTGAAGTCATATTCAAGACTACGGAAGTCCTGTTCAGTACAACATGTGCAAAAATGTCAATGGAGGCTTATTGAAAAGAATTCTGGGACAATTAGTACACTTTACAAAGCCCTTTTTGAACCTCTGTAAATACAGTGGCATGAGAAATGTTTGAACTTCTGACAGTTGGAGCCACTAAGATAACCAGGGATAGAAGAATGCCTTTCAGCTCACTTCTTTTAATGAATGAAAAGGTTTTTTTCCTACCAGTGATGTGTTTTGATGGTTTGCTTCTATCAGTGTGTTAACGAGCTGAGCAACATCACAGCCATTCTAGGTGTTATCTAGCTTAGCAAAAGTAAGGGTATTGTATTACAATCAATCTCTGCTATTTGCATTTTACTTAGTTATAGCACACTTGTTGCATTTCATGGTCCTGCGACTTCATAATCTCACATATAAATGTCTTCCTAGGGAGGTATCCGCTTCGTTTGAACTTCTGACAGTTGGAGCCACTAAGATAACCAGGGATAGAAGAATGCCTTTCAGCTCACTTCTTTTAATGAATGAAAAGGTTTTTTTCCTACCAGTGATGTGTTTTGATGGTTTGCTTCTATCAGTGTGTTAACCAGCTGAGCAACATCACAGCCATTCTAGGTGTTATCTAGCTTAGCAAAAGTAAGGATATTGTATTACAATCAATCTCTGCTTTTTGCATTTTACTTAGTTACTTGTTGCATTTCATGGTCCTGTGACTTCATAATCTCACATATAAATGTCTTCCTAGTGAGGTATCCGCTCGGGCCTCTGATGAGGTGGGTTCTAGTCCATAAGATGCTACAAAACTGGTGTTTATCTCAGAGGCTCACCTATGCCCACATGAGATTAGAATGTAATTTCTTTTCATTTTAATCTACAATGCAATGAACTGGGAGAGCTCTGACCTAAACCAATTTCCATTCTTGTCCTAGCCATTGTGCTGGCCAGCAGCCATGATGGATTTTTGCACTGTGATGACAAACTTGTGAACTGAGCCTCATGCTAATCATTCGCAGGCTGGTCCAGCGACTCCTAGGATTAGGAACAACTCCAAATGGCACCTTCAATCTAGTTGATTCAGCTTTCACAGTCCTACTAAAAACGAAAATTATTGTTGTTGTTCCAGCAATAGCTCTCATACTCCCACTGCTGGCCTATGCCAACAGAATTAAGCCACCTTCACTGTGATCTGCCACTGGCATTTTGGGGGGCACCACTGTCTTTGCGTACATGCCACAGCCATGTTTACGCATATATCAGACTAAAAAGGCAATTTGAAGTGGTGATAGTCTGAAGCTGAAAGAAGATACAGGGACAGAATAGAGAATCAACAGTTCTGCTGAGGATAATAGAAAGCTGAGATAAAATTAAGGGGAAAGGACAGGTTGTGTGATGCCCATGCCTCACAGTCAGGGCCTCTGAACACCAGATATTGCATCCATACCCTGTTCTGGGGCTTCTCGGATGGAGAATTCTGGATTAGATTAAGCTTTTATTTATTGTTTATTTATTTCAAACATTTTAATGCCACCTTTTCACCCAGTCAGGGTTCACAAGGAAGTGAACATAAGAAACATTAAAACAGTTAAGCAATTTGGTGTAGTGGTTAAGTGCACGGACTCTAATTTGGAGAACCAGGTTTGATTCCCCACTCCTCCACTTGCATCTGCTGGATGACCTTGAGCAAGCCATAGTTCTGGCACAGCTGTTCTTGAAAAAGAGCAGTTTCTGTCAGAGCTTTCTCAGCCCCACCTACCTCACAGGGTGTCTGTCTGTCGTGGGGAGGGGAAGGGAAAGGAGTTTGTAAGCCACTCTGAGACTCCTTTGGGTAGTAAAGGGTGGGGTATAAATCCAATCTATCTTCTTCTCTCTCTTAAAAATACAGTTAATGTGATAAAATTCATAAACAAAAACATAAACAAACAACACTAGAAGGATGGCCAATAACAATTGCAGTCTGATCCAATAGAGCACTCTATTTGAAATATCTGTCCTCAGCCGTCAGACCTCAGTCTAAGCCTGGTTCCCTGCCATAATATACATCTGTCCTTAGTATTGTTGGGAAGGAAGAGTACAAGATGTAGCCTGATCTTGTCAGACCTCGGAAGCTAAGTAGGGTTGGTATTTGGATGTGGTACCACCAAGAAAGACTCTGAAGGGCAAACGACCTCTGCTTCTCACTTGCCTTGAAAGACCCTTCCTGGGGTCACCGTAAATTGGTTGCAGCTTGACAGCACTTATGCATGACTGTACCATTTAGTGGTACAGTGTTAGTACAGTGAAGGGGTTAGAGAACCAGACTGGGTCCGTAGAGTACAAGGTTCTAATCTTCCCCTTTCTTCTATGATGCATAGTTGGTGACATTATGCCAGTCATTATCTCTCAGCATAACCTCTCAGATGATTGGATCCCATCAAGGGGTCTGGCTGTGTGAGGGTAATTTTCACCAATTCCATCTTTTTATTTCTTTCTTTATTTCTTTCTATTTATATCCCGCCTTGTCGGACACGCTGGCTCAAGGCAACTAACAGGGTTAAAATAACATAAACAATACAGAAATAACCGGTTAAAACGGCAACAGTTACAGATAGAACCAACAGATGATGGTGATAATCCAAATCACACCCAATTATAGGAGTAGCATCCAGCAAGGTCTCAGGCCAGAAGATGTTCTAAGTTTCAAGCCAGAAGATGTTCCAGGGCACATTTATCAGCGGCGGCTCCTAATCAAAAGCCTGGTGGAAGAGCTCCATTTTACAGGCCCTGCAGAACTGTAAAAGGTCCTGCAGGGCCCTGATGTCCTCCGGGAGCTCATTCCACCAGTATGGGGCCACCACTGAGAAAGCCCTGGCTCTGGTGATATTCAGCCTGGCTTCTTTTGGTCCAGGGAGGGTCAAGCGGTGTTGCGACCCTGACCTCAGTGCTCTCTGGGGCACATGTGGGGAAACACGGTCCCTCAAGTAGGCAGGCCCCTGACCATATACGGCTTTAAAGGTTAAAACCAGCACCTTGAACCGAATCCGGTACGCTATAGGCAGCCAGTGCAGTATCCTCAGCACAGGCTGGATGTGGTCCCGTGTAGAGGGACTCATCAGCAGCCTGGCTGCAGCATTCTGCATTAGCTGCAGCCTCTGGATCTGGGACAAGAGCAGACCCATGTAGAGAGCATTGCAGTAGTCTAATTTCGAGGTGACCATTGCATGGATCACTGTTGCTAGGTCATTGCGTTCGAGGAAGGGAACCAAGTGCCTAATCAGCCGTAGATGGTAAAAGGCCACCTTTGCAGTGGCTGCTACCTGGGCCTCCATTGTTAAGGAGGCATCCAGGAGTACTCCCAGGCTATTAAAGTTGAGAATGCTGAAACCTGAGAGAGAGGGTAGTGATAGGTTGTTGTTAATTGAGTTGGGGTGTTTGATGGTATCTTATAAACTTAAGGGGTAATAGATTTTGTATACAGAGATTGACTAAACACAATAGCCATATGAATGATTTAAATAGATTAACTGGATAAGGATTATTCTAGCAGAATAGTAAAGATGGGAAACAAATGCATGGAAATTAATTGAGATCAGGTGGATATAATGGAAAATGTTAACCGACGATTGTGAGAATAGAGAGAACCTAGAGATCATGTGATTAATTAATAACATGATCAAAGGGACATGGGAAGATAACAGTTGTTATATTGATATAAGTTGGTGGCGGGGTCTTGTGTCGGTGTTTGCTTTTCTTATGTGTAAAAAACCCAATAAAAATTGTTTTTTTAAAAAAGAAATATGTGTGTGCTGCAAGGTCTAATTCAGTCATTATAGGGTTAATCTGTTTACCTTGTGTGCTGTTGTTTAGACTAACCTGGAAGGGAAATTTGGCTCAGAGCGAATGAAAAGAAAGCCTCGAAATCTAAGTCTGTTTACTCTCAATCATTGGTTAATGTATTCAGGTGATTTCCTTCTAGGGATCAAGAAGAATCTCCATTGCAGTTCTTGTTGTGAGACCGTGTGGTTGGTCTGTTCTGTAGCTGTAGAGGTGTAGCCTTAGGTCTGTTATTTTGTAGCTTTTCCTGTGTACCCTTCCCTTAGAAATAAGGATTTCTACACAGAAAGAAATGCCTCCTCTCCAGTGAAGCAAAGATCCATTGCAGACTCTGAATATCTAAGTATTTTTGCTAATTTAGGGCAGGGCAGAAGGAATTCTTTGCACATAAATTTTCAACAAGATCCAACCCAGGGTTGGTATATGGATACGGTGAAGAAGGAAAGAAACATGTATGTCCCTCTGAGCTGCTTGGGGGGGATGCATGGGATAAAATAGGCAATAGAAAGATGTAATTCCACCAATTAGTCATTCAAGGCACTTGGTCTATAATCTGTGTAGTCAGATTAACCCATTTGTGAGCTGAGCTCACAGTGTCTTTTTCAGTTGATGGGGAAAGCTATTCATCAAGCTTTGTTTTTCATTTGCAGATGGGCTTCTTTCGCAGAAAGTACAAAGAAATCATCGAGGCTGAGAAGAACAGGAAAGAGAACGAAGACAGCTGGGACTGGGTACAGAAAAGCCAGTAAACTGCTGAAGGGGGGGGGAGGGACATTGAAAGCCCAGTCATGTGACACACAATTGCTACCCTATTGGTCCTGCTCTTGTATCTTCCATATGTGGAAGAAGGAATCTTCTCCAGATTTTTCGGAGGCCCCATTGTTCGTCATCCTTTTAAGCTAGGGAACGTTTCCTGAGGCAACCACTGCAGACATATCAGGTGACTGGAGTGATTTATACTTCCTGGAAGAGATGAACTTTGATAACTAAACTGCAGTGCAGAGCAATATTTATGAATCCAACATACGTAGTGTACCCTCAGGGGAAGACTGTTGCCTGGAGAGAAAAAAAGTACTTTTTATAAATATAAGCTTTTTATACTGATTATGTCTTTTTATATATTTGTATCAATGTTTTTATGTTTTCTATTGAATAGCTATATATAGTTCACAAAAGCACTGATATTCAGCTGAAATGTTGGACATGCATATCTGTATATATATACATATATATATCAGTCATACTGTACTTTTAAATTGCAATGCAGAAGAGACAAACAGATGAAAAACCTCACATGGTATATCTACCAATCTCGGTGATGTTGTACGTAAATCTTCCAGCAGCACAAAGCCAAAGTCTTTGCCTTTTGCTTGAAACAAACAAAAACACATGAAAATCGAATGTTTGAGTTGTGTGTTAAAAGACCCTAAATGCTATATATATATATATATTGGATATTTGATTCTACTGTGCACGGACTGTCCATAAAGTATGTTTCACTTTAGAAAAACATTTCCTTTATCCTTTGCCAATAATATCCCTCTCCCAAAATATGTCACACATCCTTACCAGAGGCATGCATTTTTTACAAGAAGAATATTTTTAAACTATTTCCCAGGTGACTGTTGAGTCCTTCCTATTCGAATGCCTGTAATATGTGATACTGTAAGTTAAGTATAAGACAAGTTGGAGTGATGTGTGAGGCTCACATATAGCTACTGATGCAGGTTTTGTGTGTTTGCCCCAGCAGAGCAGCTAGTTGGCTCTCCAGGGCGGTTGTGTATGGTACAGAGGGGAAGGCCTAAAGTCCCTCCTCTTGCACTGTGGTCCTGGTCTGAATTGGGCCCCATATACCTAATTGGCAAAGGGGAAAAAAAAAACTTGTAGTCTCAGAGCTCTGGCATAAGAGTTGAGCTGTTTAATACGTGAAATGGGAAGTCATGTCACAAGATAATGAAGGTTAAGGAAAAGCAACAGAATGTATTTTCAGGTTCCATGGACTGGTTTACTAAATGATGGTGCTGAGGAATCCATTGGGAATGACATCACATCATGGTCCATATCTCCTTGTCAAAAATCGTGCTACATCACCCACCCCATCAAAGTTTGGCATACTTTATGAATGATGGCTGATGAGTTTGAATTACAGTGAACAGTCCCTTGCAGCCAAACAGCAGGGACTCTATAGCTCACACTGCTTTATATAACCTTTATTCATAGGGCATGATGCACTGAAGAGAGCAGCAATGAATGTCTTCCTTTGGCAAGCCTGGCTTCACTGTCATGTAGTCTTTGGGCAATAGAAGGGAACTGGGGAGTCAAGGGATCATAAATACAAACAGAGGGGAAAACCTCCCTTTATCCAATGCCTGATTGTTTTATGACTGTTTATCTGTCACTTGTCCTGTGCACATTTCTTTGCAAGTGTAGCCTTGGTATGTTTCACTGCTGCTGTATGATGTAGGCCACTGCTGTTCCTGTTTTGCAGGTGAGAAATATATACTTCGGTCTAATTGATGGTATTCTACCTTTGGCTAGAGCAAGTTCCTCCCGCCAAAGGAGGCTTCCTCCAACTTAAATGGCTCTGTCATTGAAGGAAGAGCCACTTACATTGGAGGAAGTTTCAAACTTTGCTTAATAGAGTGGTAGGATACAGGCCAGTGACCTGTCTGAGGCCCTTTGGTAAATTCAAGGTTGAACTAAGACTTGGCCCACACATACTACCTGCATGGTTTTTTTGTTATCAAACCCCACTGCTTGAGTCCCATATAAATAGGGCTATACTATAATTGGGCACACACTGGCAACAGTAAGTTACATAGGGTTTATGTATACGTTATAGCAATAGATACCAGTGCTTGGCACAAGAAAACCATTTGGAAAATATAAGTGCTCAGGGGTTATGGGGGGTTTAATTATTAAATGCACCTCTCTTCATAATATTGTAAACAATTGTGTATTATGGTAATGAGTAGTATTATTAAATTCAGGATCCTGTCATGGTAAACCAACTCTTGAAAATAATTCTTTAATAGATTTTCTTGTAGCCCTGTCATAAAGGATTCTGCAATGGTCAGTACTTCTGTGAATGCTTAAAATGTTGCGGCTGTCAGCTGGGGTTTGTACAACCTTAGTTTCACATGAAGAAGAAATGTTTCTGAAGCCCTCATCTCAATTATACTTTCACAGTGAAAATTTCAAGGCTTAAGTAACCACCATTAAAAAGCAGGCTTATATTGATTTGAATTGAGAGATCCAGTGTGGTTTAATAGTAAGAGTGTCAGACCAGGATCTGGGAAACCTTGGTGTGCGTGTTCACTCTGCCATGGGAACTTGCTGGGTGACAGTGGCCCAGTCTCTCTCTCCCTCTCTCAGCCTAACCTACCTCACAGGGTTGTTGTGAGAATAAAACTGAGAAAGGGAGAATGCTGTTGTAAGCTGCTTTTGGGTCCCAACTGGGGAGAAAAGCCGGATATGAAGATAACATTTTAAAAAGTCAAGCGAGTGATTTAGAGCAAATACTTTGTCACGTTAAACTGAGTTGAGATAGTCAAACCTATGAAGCAGCCATGTACTATATGAGACCATTGCTTTACCTAGCCCAGTGCAAATTCCTCTGGCAGATTTCTCTGTGGTCTCTGGCAGACGTCTTTCCTGTTAGCTGGAGATGAGAGAGTTTGACTTTGAGATCTTGGACGTTATAAAGAGAACAGAAGTAACTATATGTTCACCTGGGAAAGCCTGGCTTCACTGTTTGTTTTTAAAATCACATCCAAAGCTGCTCAGAGTTCTTGGAACTTCTAAGGCCCTTTATAGATAATCCTATGAATGACAGTTTTCCCACTTAGTTGAAATGTAAACTCGTCTGCTCAGGGTCAATTGATATGTCATTCTTAGATGTTCATTTATGCAAAACTCTACCACAGTGGTTGCAATGGCCAAGCAGCCTTATTGGCCAGTCCTTATTGCTCAGAAGCAAGCCCATTATGACCAGCAAGAGATCCAAAATAGAGTAAGACCATTTCAGTATCACAAAGATAACAACTCTGTCAGTACATTAAAAAAGAAATGCTACAAATCACTGTGAACAGCTGCATATCCTTTTTAACAAGAACAAGGTCACTAGGTACATTTAAAGATGGCTTTCAGTCACTATATGACGTAATACACAAACGGGTCATGGTTTGTTGACTTTATCACTTATCTTCCTGGAGGTGATTTTTGACTCAACATGTGTCTGCATATTTTCATAAACTAGGAGTTACACTGAATTACTGTAGCCAGGCTGGAAGGACATCAAAAGCCCCCAAGGAAGCTGAGCCTGCGCCCACTGGGGAGCCTGCCACTCTCGTGGTTGGATCCCAGCTAAGCGGCCCCTCGAGCACTTGGCTCAGCTTGCCTCTGGTTGCCAGTATCTCCTCCAGATCAGATTGCCAGCTCTGGGTTGGGTAGTTCCTGGAGATTAGAGGGGAGGCTGGGAAGGGCAGAGTATTTGTAGAAGGAGCTTCCAGCTCTTTAGGAAATATATATGCTACCTATCCAGAGACCTGCTTGAGGCAGCTTACTTTCCCAACCTGAATCAAGGCTGGGGGGCACTAGTTTGGGGAGACCCATGTGTACCCTTGGAGGCATGTGGATTTCCCCAACAGGCCAGATAAAGGCTCTCCTTCTCTCTGTGTACTGTGGTCCTGATCCAAATTGGGCACCACACATGGAGGGACTGAAAATTGCAACTCATGTCTGACTGTTACACCTGACACTGTCACATCCCTGTTCCAAACTGTGTACTCCATAAAGTGCGACTCTTAACAGCCCTACTTCTAGAGAATCTGTTCTGCCAGCCCCAAATGAAAGTTTAGGCAAAAGAGAAGGAAAGGCTTTGCATGGCACTCTTGCTTAAGCAACCCCAGAAATCAGAGAAGCCAAGGAAAAAGGTGGAAATTAGAGATGGGCATGGACCAGAAAAATAGAGGTTTGTACTGGTCCATGGTTCGTGGGTTTCATAGTCCATGAATTTTCACTGACCTTTTTGTTTAATGGACCTGTCCATAGTTCATATGGTCTGTGACTTTGGGACTTCCTGGAACAGTCCTCCCCCCCTCCCCCAGGCTAGAGACATCAAACTCACAGCGAGTCTCCAGATGACTTTCCTCTACCTGCCCTCCAAGTTTGGTGAGGATTGGATTTAGGTGGGCCAAGTTACACCCCCCCCCAGGAAAGTACTCTTTGGGGAAATCATAGCTGCAGGTTCAGGAGTGTGTCAAATGGCCCCCTACAAGTTAGAGACATGAAAGTTGCAGTGGACCTCCCTGGGATGGCCTTCTACCTACCCTCCAAGTTGCGTGCATTGGGGGAGGGGGGAAGATCGTATGGTCCAATGTGCAAAAGGGGAAGGAGTCTATCAAAAGCCCCCTCCCCGCAAGCTAGAGGCATCAAAGTCATTTACAGGGCTGCAGAAGAACTGTAGAAGAACATCCCCCTGGTTGCCTTAACAAGTAAATGCCTCCGCGCTGGGTTGGAATCAATGGGGCGGAGGATGTGGTAAATTACATACAGTGGGATCCAGCCAGGTTTTCTACTGGTGAAAAAATGAATCTCCTTTTACCATCCAAATATGTGATGCTGGGAATCAAGGGAGTTGCATGGACAAAATGCTTTGTGAGGCAGGAGCTGTAGTGAGGCAGAGAATTAGGTGAGACTGAACAACAATGGATCCTACCCCTAATGTACAGATCTACCCTGATGCATTCTCCCATAAGGATTTGGCTAGCATTCCAACTGGCCCACCC